CCTCATGTATGGGCATGCGATTGGTCCTGTGGCGCCAACAAAGTGTGTTATGTGTTGTGATATGGATGAGTTGTGATTATGAGTGTCTTGGGGGATGTGACTATGGGACTTATATTGGGGATTGTTCATGTTGGGTTATGATTATTGTTTATGCCTTGCCTTATCTGCCTTTTCTATTGTGAACTGCATATGCTCGTTATAACTGTTGCTTGTGTCTGGCCTTATCTGTCGAGTCATTCCCGGTTTTAAAGCTAGAGTTCGTAGGATATATCTTCATGCTCATAATGGTTTTCGTATATCTATATATATCTCTATATGTATTGTATTTCAACGCGTTGGAGTGGGTTACCAGCATCTCTCGCTGAACAGATATATTTGGCTTTCAGGCACAGAGGACTAGAGCACTGGAGCGCGCTAGAACTGGAGCGTAGAAGTAGAGTAGTTTCCCTTTTGGCCTGCGTGCCATGTTATGCATTGTGTTCAATGGATATTAGTTAGACAGCCTGTGCACCTGGGTTCTCTAGCCCAGGTGTGGCATAGCACCCCGTACACTTATGATATACTTTGGGATGTAATGAGATATTACCTTTATTATATAAGCTTAAAATGTCTTGAAAATCTGGGGTGTTACAGTTATGCTTCGACCTCTGGAACATGTGGATGGTTTCTTTCTGGTAGATGATGTAGGTACAGCAGCAGGTTGAACAGCCGTAGGGCCCTTTTGTTTAACAGAAGATCGCAGTGTCTTGAAAACTTGTTGGATAGTGGATTAGCTTCAGATTTGACTGTTTCACTAGACTTCCTTTTCTTCTCAGGCTGATCTGCATCAGCACTGTCATCACCTGTCTCAACAACAACTTTCACAGGAACATTCTTCCTTTTAGACCTTCTCGTTTCTTTGGTTGGGGATTGAATAGGAGTCACAGAATGACTGGAATCAGATACTTGAGCAGAAGAGCCACCAAGCAGATTAGTAACCTCTCGTATTTTAAATTTTGTGGGGTCAGGATGAGCAGTGGCCTCAATGGTTGGAATGTCAGATGGAGGTGCTTGAGACCCATAAACTTTAGCCATAATCTTATCATCTTCGCTGGAGGATTCAAATGGGTGAATCACTCGATACGGTTGAGGATTCGAAATAGACGGTAGGCCAGTAAAATGTCGCACATGCTCCAGACTTTCACCTAACGATGTGGCAGTGTAGACTGGGATTCCACCTGTTTTCTCAGACTTATGGGGGCTTGAGAGGTCAACAGACTCAACATTAGCAGGTAAATCAGAAGGATCATCACCAGGACAAATTTCTTTGGGATCAACGGCAATCTCAGCAGGAGGCAGAACAATATTATCAGAAGAGAATACAACTAAACTCAGATTATTGGGCTCATTAAATGATTTTTCTTTCTCATCAGACACATGCAAGACATCATTTTTCACACAATCAGACTCACTCAAGGGCAGGGATGAAGGATCAACATTCACAAGGGGTTTCTCAGAGTTCAAAGCAGATAAGTTTTCAGTATTAACAGGCATACAAGACGGAGTAGCAGAATCATCAGGTTTATCCGTTGAAATTTCAATAGGAGAATCAGAATTGTTTGACCTATTTCGGAGGATCTCCAGTTTGTGTCTTGTCTCTTTTTGAGCAGCTTCGAGATACAGGGGCTGCGACTCTGCTCGCCGTCGAGAGACCTCAGCAGATTCTAGGGCTCGTTGTGCAAAATGTCGAAGAAATGCCCTGGCCCGATTCCCATCCGAGGGTTCTGGAATAGACACTGGAGAAACCTCATCACTGGCTTCAGAAACCATCATCAGCAGTTCAGTTGCATCGTCTTCAGACCATTCAGCATAAAACTCTGGGTAGTTCGTCATAACAATCACCAATATCTCATCACGAAGCAGAGGATCAAGCTTGAGTTTCTTCTTCATAGAAAACTGCAATAGCGTCTGAATATGCTTAAAAGCCACCTCTGGAGAATGTGTCTTGCTTCCGAGTTTGATAATGATATTTCTTACTGGGTCCGCCATTGGAGATTTTTGTGAGAGGAGAAGAACAAATCAAGGAAGGCAAGGATGCAGAGAGAGAGGAAGACTGAGTGCTGAGATACTCGTAGATATTTTTCTTCTTGGCCCGGTAACAAATAGACTTAAGGGTGATGAACCCTAATTAATGTGGCTAGTCAAATAGCATGCAGACGCGATTGATTGACACAACAGTACAACTTTTTTTTAGGAAGGAAACGGAACCCAAGGAAATTTGAATTTCGAAATAAGATTAGGATCTTTAAGATATCTTTAAGATATATTAGGTTATAGAATCCACTTAACAAAATAGAGAGGAGTCTTAAAAGGAAGTCGAACCATAATACTGACCCGTATAAGAAAACCTTCACTCCTCTCTAATTGACCAACTACTTTATTAGTCAATTCTGCAAATTCCCAGAGCAGACCTGAGAATTTCAAAACGATTTGCGTCTTGTGGCTTAGTCAGAATATCCACCAGTTGTTTGTCAGTTTGAATATATTCCAATTCAATCTCCTTGGATTCAACTAGGTCTCTGATGTAATGATGGCTGTAATCAATATGCTTCGTTCTAGAATGTTGAACTGGATTCTTGGAGATATTAATAGCACTGACATTGTCACAATAGAGTGTCATAATCCCTTGAGTAAGACCATAATCCAGCAACATCTGTTTCATCCATACCAACTGAGTACAACATCCACCAGCAGCTATGTATTCTGCCTCTGCAGTGCTTAATGAAATTGAATCCTGTTTCTTACTTAGCCACGATACCAAGTTCTTACCAATAAAGAAGCATACTCCAGATGTACTCTTTCGATCATCAATGTTTCCTGCCCAATCAGCATCACAGTACGCAACAAGACTCAGTTCACTGTCCTTGGAGTACCAGAGGCCATACTGCATCGTTCCCTTTACATATTTCAGAATGCGTTTCGCAGCTATCAGGTGTGATTCCTTTGGATCTGATTGATACCTTGCACAGATTCCAACACTGAACATTATGTCTGGTCGACTGGCAGTTAGATACAACAGACTGCTTATCAGGCTTCGATAGACTGTGTTATCCACTGATACACCGGTTTCATCTTTTGATACTTTTGTGGAGGTAGAGATTGGTGTCCTAGATGGTTTACATGATTCCAGATCAAACTTCTTGACTAGATTTTTAGCATACTTTTCTTGTGAGATAAAGTATCCTTCAAGGCATTGCTTGACTTGTAGTCCTAGAAAGTACGTCAGTTGACCAACCATGGACATTTCAAATTCTTCCTTCATGACTTTTACTAACTCGTCAGTGTATCTCTGTAAAGTTGACCCAAACACAATGTCATCAACATAGATTTGGGCAATGGTTACATGACTTCCAGTAGTCTTCACAAACAAGGTTTTGTCGACACTTCCTCGTTTATACCCATGCTGTAGCAGATACTGTGTCAGTCGTTCATACCATGCCCGTGGGGCTTGTTTGAGACCATAGAGAGCTTTTCAAAGCTTGTAGACATATGATGGATGGTCTGGATCTTCAAACCCTTTAGGTTGAGCCACATAGATATCTTCGTGCAGATAGCCATTCAGGAATGCTGTCTTAACATCCATCTGAAATAGTGTGAATCCCAAAATACATGCAACAGCCAACAGAATCCTAATTGACTCGAGTCTTGCTACAGGAGCAAATGTCTCATCATAGTCAATCCCTTCGATCTGAGTATACCCTTGAGCCACTAGCCGAGCTTTGTTCCTGGCTATATTCCCAGCTTCATCAGTTTTATTTTTGAAAATCCACTTTGTTCCAATTATGTTGACACCATCAGGTCTTGAAACTAGACCCCAAACATGATTTCGATCAAACTGATGTAGCTCTTCCTGCATTGCCTTGATCCACAGATCATCCTGTAAGGCTTCTTTAACATTCATGGGTTCTATCTTTGAGGTATAGCAAGCAGACCCAGATATTTCTATCAGATTATTTCTTATTCTGCTCCTGGTCTTCATCCCATATGTTGGATCTCCAATGATATTATCTGATGGATGCTTTTTCTGAGTTCTGGTAGGTTTGTCTTTACATGTATCATTTATGAGATTTGTCTCCTGTTTCGAACTTTCTTGATCTTCATCTGAGGATTCTTGTGATTTGGGCTGACTGTTGCTATCTGCAGTATTTGGTTCACTAAGAGGAAGCTTTGTCACTGGATCTGTCATTGTTGTGTCTACTGATTCTTCTGGACTGTCATCTATAACCGCATTACTAATTCCATCACAGATTGAGTTATCTTGTTGTAGACTCTGTAGGCACGACTATTTGGAGAGTATCCAAGGAAGATGCTCTCATCACTCTTAGGTTCAAACTTCCCTCTTTGTTCTCTATCAGCCAGCACATAACACTTTGTCCCGAACACATGAAAATACTTCAAGTTTGGCTTCTTTCCCTTCCAGATCTCATATGGTGTTTTGGTCGTTCCTGGTCTAAGATAGACCCTATTTACAGTATGACAGGTTGTGTGTACTGCTTCAGCCCAGAAGCGCTGCGACAGATGAGAGGCATGTAGCATAACTCTAGCCATTTCTTGTAATGTTCGATTCTTTATTTCCACCACACCATTCTGTTAAGCAGTTCTAGGAGCCGAGAAGTCATGTGATATACCGTGTTCGGAGCAGAAATCTGAATATAGTGAATTCTCAAATTCTTTTCCATGATCACTCCTTAGTCTCTGAACTTTTATTATAGACTCATTCTTTAAAACTCTGTGCATAAGGGTTCAGAAGGAAAAGAATGAGTTTATAATAAAAGTTCAGAGACTGAGGAGTGATTATAGACTCATTCTCTAAAACTCTGTGCATAAGGGTTCAGAAGGAAAAGAATGAGTATATAATAAAAGTTCAGAGACTAGAGATCCTCCGAAACAGGTCAAACAATTCTGATTCTCCTATTGAAATTTCACCGGATAAACCTGATGATTCTGCTACTCCGTCTTGTATGCCTGTTAATACTGAAAACTTATCTGCTTTGAACTCTGAGAAACCCCTTGTGAATGTTGATCCTTCATCCCTGCCCTTGAGTGAGTCTGATTGTGTGAAAAATGATGTTTTGCATGTGTCTGATGAGAAAGAAAAATCATCTAATGAGCTCAATAATCTGAGTTTAGTTGTATTTTCTTTTGATAATATTGTTCTGCCTCCTACTGAGATTGCCGTTAATCCCAAAGAAATTTGTCCTGGTGATGATCCTTCTGATTTACCTGCTAATTTTGAGTTTGTTGACCTCTCAAGCCCCCATAAGTCTGAGAAAACAGGTGGAATCCCAATCTACACTGCGACATCGTTAGGTGAAAGTCTGGAGCATGTGCGACATTTTGCTAGCCTACCGTCTGCTTCGATTCCTCAACCGTATCGAGTGATTCACCCATCTGAATCCTCCAGCGAAGATGATAAGATTCTGGCTAAAGTTTATGGGTCTCAAGCACCTCCATCTGACATTCCAACCATTGAGGCCACTACTCATCCTAACTCAACAAAATTTAAAATACGAGAGGTTACTAATCTGCTTGGTGGCTCTTCTGCTCAAGTATCTAATTCCAGTCATTCTGTGACTCATGTTCAATCCCCAACCAAAGAAACGAGAAGGTCTAAAAGGAAGAATGTTCCTGTGAAAGTTGTTGTTGAGACAGGTGATGACAGTGCTGATGCAGATCAGCCTGAGAAGAAAAGGATGTCTAGTGAAACAGTCAAATCTGAAGCTAATCCACTATCCAACAAGTTTTCAAGGCACTGCGATCTTTTGTTAAACAAAAGGGCCCTACGGCTGTTCAACCTGCTGCTGTACCTACATCATCTATCAGAAAGAAACCATCCACACGTTCCAGAGGTCGAAGCATAACTCCTGAAGTTCAACCTGTTGAAGGATCTGACACATCTATTTACAAGCCTCAATTTGTATCTCCTGCTGCTCAGGACAAATGGTCTACTATGGTCAGAAGAGATCTTATTGTTCAACGATCTGTGGATGAGAACCAGCTGAACTCCGTATGTGATATTCTACCTCTGCTGAATGAAGTAGGATTGCTGAAGACTGTCACTGCCATCTGCCCATACTCAAAGCTCCTCACGTATGGATTCTACTGTAATCTCAATGGCGAGATTGACATCTTAACCGGGCCACGACCAATGCAGATTTTCATCAGAGGGAAGTGGTACATTTTTTGGCCTGACATGATCAATGAATACTATAGACTGACTGTTGTGCAAGAAGAGGCAATCACAAACTGGAACTTGGTGGCCAAAACTCTTACGGGTGGACAAATTGAAGCCTGGCCTACGGGTGACAAAGATTATCTGCAGAGCTCTCAACTCACATCCAGATATGTTATTCTGCATCGCCTGGCTCTTCACAACTGGCTCCCATCAGCTCATTTCCACACGGTTGTCAAGCATCTGGCAGGTTTCTTGTTTCGAATTGGAGCAAAGATGCCGATTGATCTGGGAAACTGGATTTACCACCACATCCTCACCATGATTCGCCCACGAGAGCAGAAGGTAAGGCTACCCTTCCCAAATCTGATTTATGGCATTCTTACAACTCAGGGTCTTGAGCCTATGCCGAGCGAAGTGATCAGTCCAACTCTGCTTTATACTGTTGATAAGCGTCTTCTGACTGGATATCACATTCGCGATGTTGATCCGGTGACTGCCCCCTCTAATTCTGAACCTGATACTGTGGCTGATGACTCACCCCATGCAAAGGATGTTCATCTCTCCAATCAGTTGAAGGCAAGGGTCTCTGACCTTGAGACAGTACACAACATTATTGCTAAACAACTGACAGGGGCCCGTACTGAGCTGGAAACCGTTCTTCTTCGTTTAAGCCTATCTGAAGCTGCTGCTGCTGAACCTGCGAAGTCCGACAGTGACGCTCCCTCTAATGCTTGATCTTTGGCTCTCATTGGAAAAAAGGGGGAGTAGTATGAACTCAGGGGGAGTTTTTGTGTTTGTGTACCTTTTGGCCCTGGCTGGGCGTTGTTTTGATGGCACCACTGCATGTTTTTGAAGATTGATCTTAAACTGTGTTTTGATCTTTTGTTTTGTTTTCGTTCTGCTATGTAATCAGGTCTGACTCATGGGTTGTTTCTTTATAATAACCTATCTTAGTTCTTTATGTTTTTGATGGCAACAACAGAAGGACTGACACTGAAGATCTGATTTAAGAAGGTATTGACTTAAAAGTTGTACGCGGTTTACAGGAGACAGATTTGGAAGGAAGATCAGCGTATCTGCTTTGGAAAGGTATGGACCGAATCTTTAAGATTACTTTCTTCAAATATTGTCCTACCATCTACAATCAAAGACATCTTTGGAAGGAGTGTTCTATCGACGGATCTATAAGTACCATCATTCTAAGAGAATTAGGGTTACGCCTTACGCAAGAAGAAAAACTCCACATCTGCTATATGAGACTAGATCTTTGATTGTCATGCATCTTCTTAATACAACATGTTCATGGTGATTAAGATGATGAACTTGAGAAGAATCACTGCTGCTTAAGCGAAAGGACACTGTGATCACACTGTTGTGGGAACAACTGTATAGAGCGCCATTGAAGTGGACTGCATCAGAGTGGGCTCTCCAAGTGAAGGGATTTCATTGGACTTCTGTATGCATAGATCTCCATCTTCAACAATCCACTAAACCTGTGTAGACTGGGTATGTACCTTGTGTGGGGCACTTGGGTAAGATTATTATATATCTACCTTTGTACATTGGATTATGATTTAGTGGATTGGACGCCTATGTGATCGTCCCCCAGACGTAGAGACACACTGTATCGAACTGGGTAAACATTCTCTGTCTTTGGCTTTGTGTTGTTCGTTTCTATTTTATCTTCTCTATGATTTATTATTACTGACTGACTTCATTGCTGAATCAGTCAGTACATTTCGTCAGTTGATTAATCCAGTTAATCTGTTTAAAAAAGAGGGAATGCAAAATTACAGTTTGGTAACCAGTTTAATTACGTGGGAACAACCTAAATTAAATCAATCAGCTATGAACAATTTAAGCTGCTTTTAGACCCTGTTTGGTAAATGACTGTTAGATGATAGCTGTTAGCCGTTATCTGATTTGGTTAATTAAAGGGTATAACTAGTTGATAACATTAGCTGATTGTAGAAAAGTGTTTGGTAAATTAGCTGTTTAGTATAATTTATTTTCTCTAAAAGCTAATTGAAAAAGTTGCTTTGAGTAGCTTTTTGAATTTTAACATTTTAGAGTACAAAAAGCTAATTATCCAAACACTTATATTGATTTTTAAATCAAGTCAAACAACTAATAGTGGTCAAATAAGTCAAAATTGACCTATAAGCTAACTATTTTACCAAACAGAAAATCTTTTGCCAACTAAAATCACAAAGACTATAATAGTATGTTTGGTTTATCGAATAGGTTAGAAATAAAATATCATTATCGAGAAAATAGACCTATTCCGTCATTTGACAAATTATAATGAGAATAATTTGGTAATATATCATTAATCCTTATTTATTTTTATTATTTATACATTTCACAATTAGCATAATTTGGCATTTGGCAATATATAATTTTATCATTATTTATTTTTATTATTTACTATATATGTATTTATTATAATAACAATAAAAACAATTACTATTTACTATGTATTCTATTATAATAACAATAATTATTTATTCTGAAGATCTATCCTTAGTATTACGCTTATCTCTATTTGCTAAATCAAGAGGATAATTTTGTGTTTCAAATGTTTATTACTGTATATTTCTATTCTTCAACCTAACCAAATTAAACACTACAATAAATTTTATAATAAACCAAATAACAATTTTATAAAATTAATTATTAATTATTAATTAAATAAAACATTAAACATGATTTGGATAGGGGCTGCGCGAACGCAAGCCCCCACTTCCACAAATTATGACGTAGGCTCCACCTATTAGGTAGACCTTAGCCTAACGCCCTTCCAGAGTGCAATAGAGGTCACTAGTCTAAGCCATGAGCCTTGATGATCGCTCATTGACTCCGTCCAGGTAAGTATATTCTTTGTTGTTCCTGGGCCCCCTTTTATTAGCCGCTGTTGAACTCTTACTTCCGTTTTGTTTCGATGTGGGATATAGGGAACAAGAATACTTTGCTCCTTTCTTCTCATTTCTAGTCCCCTTTTCTATAGTTCTTTTTCCTTTTCTTGCTTAGGTTTACAATGGAAAAATGAATTAGCACATAGCTATACATATGAAAATCCCATAAGAAAAACTAAAACAATTTTCTGGGTATGGAATGTCAACTAAATATCAAAAACTGTGCTATCAGGCAGAGACATTCATCTTAGCCATTTCTTCAACCAAGTATTTGGATTCAGCTGCAAATTCAACAGGAGAACAGCTCTCCGATCTTATCCTTGGAGTTTTGTCATTCTTGTATTCTCGAGCTGTGTTGCATACTCGGAAAAGGTGAGGAACCTATGTGGCTTCTTACAGCCTACTGCTTTTGGCAGATCGAGCTCCTGAAACGTTGTCAAGCTGCAGTAAATTAAACATGTAAAATTTGATCCTCGCGTTGAATTGGCATCACAAGATTGATTCAGAGATGAATGGAAGGGGTAAGAAATGTAACACCAAAATAGGAATGGTAAAGGAGAAATTACACGCCGCTGTAGAAGCACTTTGGGGTTATATGGAAAAAGGTTCTTGTGATGAAGGTTTTGGATAGATGTTTTCAGTTCCAACAAACAATTAGTAGCATGCTGAAATGGTAGCCTCTCAGATCTGCAGTCAATGACACCAGATATAATGCTTTTCCTTTCTTCTGAACTCGTTGTCACTGGTGTGGACAGTGGACACCTCCACTTTAAAATTCAGATGATCTAATGAAACTTTTCTTCTCTTTTGGCATAATTGGATTTCTTTCTTTCCACTCCACGGAAAATTTGTAAATAAGCTCCATGACTTAAATACCATGCGCAGGCACCTATTAGTATTGATGTAAAAAATGTGAACACATCATGTAGATTTTCATAATGTATTTCCTTAGACATAAGCATTCATGATTCTTTTGTTGTCTATTACCATGTAACCACAACAAGAATACGTACGGTTTTTGAACTTGTCCAAACAGCGAGCTCTCATGCAGTTTCAAATTTGTATTACCAAGAGTAAAAATAAAAGATCACTAGACAATTATCAAGTCCTTACCTAACCTTTATGTGATTGAAACTTAATAATCTTAGCTAGTTCAATATGATGTAGTAGCTATTCATTAATTAATCAAGATTAAAAAAATTAAATAAATCATTAAATTAAAGATGCTATAGTTATTCTTTAATTAACCGAAATCAAAACATATTGACAAGGAATACTCAAAATTGACATTAAATTATTATTCGTAAAGGTATATTAACATGAGTTCTATATAATTTACATGTACTGAAATACACCCAAAAACACAATAGAATTTGAACAGCTCTATTCCAAGAGGGACTATGATTTTCATTATAATTTTAGGTTAAAATTTTCATGTCTTGCTTATTTTATGTAATTTACTTTAATTTATATTTTGTATTTTACATGTAAAATTATCATTTAGTCAAATTAATTTTATCACCTTCTAAAAATAAACACCCATTGCTCATTATTTATCAATTTCTAATTTTGTATGTATATTTTATCATTGCTTACACTTTAGGGAAAATTGAAAAGAAATTGAAATTGAAATGGTATTGTTTACAATAGCACTTGCCGAAAAACAATGGAAAATGTCGCAGTCAAAATGCGAAGTTTCGATGAAAGTTATTAGGATTGAATGACAAGGACAGTGCATGCCATGCACATTCCTTGTCTACCAACTTCCATAATAAAATACAAATCTCAAAATTTTATATTATATAATATGGCATATCCATTTGACTGAATGTTAAGTCAACCACAAAATCTTTTGACAATTCCAATTTTTTTTTTTTAAATGACTTTTCCAATTTATATATATTTTAGTTTACTTTTCTTATTTTTTTAGTTAAGACTTTTTAAAAATGCCAGATAAATTTTTCAAGTATGTAAGTAAGTTTCTTAGGTGAAAAAAAAAAATTCAAACTGTTTTTGGTTAGACTTTATGATATATTCTTCATTGCTAAAAGTGAAGCGGCCAGTTATTATATTAGTCGGATTACAAAAATATAGAATTGGCATGCAGACCTTCCCATTCTCAATCATCAAACCAATATATACAACCTTAGCCTCTTGAGTTTTCAGAGCTATAATCCCGGCCCTCTGCAACTAACCTACATTTCTCTATCTATCATATATAATATATGGCTTCTCATACTACGCCATGCATTGTTGTCTTATCATGTTTACATCTGCTTCTCTATTCCTCGCAATGCCAAGGCCAGCTCTCCCCTACATTTTACGACAAAACATGCCCCAATGCTCTCAACATCATTCGTACTGCCGTTAGGCAAGCCGTGTCTCGTGAGCGTCTCATGGCCGCCTCCATGATTGTTTTGTACAAGGTTGCGACGCTTCAATCTTATTGGAAGAAACACCAACCATGGAGAGTGAAAAGACGGCATTGCCTAACCTTGGCTCTGCTAGGGGTTATGACGTGATACAGGCTGCCAAGCGTGAAACTCATATCTTCCGGGACCTTCCGACAATCTGGATAAACTCACCAGCTTCGCTAGCAAAGGCCTTAATACAAGAGACATGGTTGCCTTGTCTGGTGCACACACTCTCGGCCAAGCTCAATGCTTCCTATTTCGCGATAGGATTTACGACAACGGTACTAACATTGATGCCGGTTTTGCTAGCACCAGAAACTCCAATGTTCTAAAGACACCGAAAATGGAAATTTGGCAGAACTTGATTTAGTGACTCCAAACTCCTTCGCTAACAACTATTACCATA